CAATTAAAGATACTGACTCAAGTCACAGAAGCAAATGTTTTATTAGATCCCTCGCACTTACATGTAAACAATACAGGTATACACACATATGTAATATATTGCACATATCGGTAGGTAAGTAATATTTGTTACATTCTAATTTAAAATGGCGGTTTACAAATTGGTAAAATTTATAGTGACGTCGTCGCATAGAAAGGCGTTCCATTAACGTACTTAAATGCAATAGTTTCTTCACAGGAATTTAGGACCCTAAATTAAATTGATTGTAATGTCAAAGTCAATTAAAAACAGACGCAGATATAGTGGTATCATGTATTAATCATAATACAAACATTAATTGAAAGATGTAAAATTGGATAACAGTAGTTTTAAACAATTTATGGGAAGTTAATGCAATGAGCAACGTCAAAATTACGAAGTTAAGCTTTATGTTTGAACAAAATCTTCATTTAGTATATTTTAAGTGAAGGAAATCAAATATTGAAGCTATTTTTGAGGTTTGGTGCTTTTTATTATTATTATTATTATTATTATTATTATTATTATTATTATTATTATTATTATTATTATTATTATCATTATTATTATTTTTATTATTATTATTATTGTTATTATTGCATCAAGCTTTTATATATATATATATATATATATATATATATATATATATATATATATATATATATATATATATATATATATATATATATATATATATATATTCATACATACATACATGCATACATACATACATATTGCTCGAATTAAATGTTTGAAGTTTGTATTTTCCTAATAAAAGCACTGCATCAAATTTAAATTTGCATTATCTTTCAATTTTTGCTTTAGAGAGAAAAGTTAATTAAAGTCTGGTGAGAAAGAAAATTGATATATAATATTTTGACGGGTATATGTAAACAAATAATTATACAACTAACGTCGGGTATATGTAAACAAATAATTATACAACTAACGTTTACGATATTGCCCTAGTGTTTTATTGCCTGACAATTTTGTTTTAATCAACGGATAAGAGAATTATGGGGATGGGTGGACTTTAATTTCTCAGCGCCGTAAAAAAAGAACGATTTAGAGGTAAAATAGTAATTTAGTGATTGGAAACATGGTTTGAAAATAACATACTAGTATTAATTCTAATACATTTATTGTGAAATGTTTAGGATACTGCGATTATGAGGTTTACAGAGATACATCCATAACTGCTACCGACTTTGGACTAGCGACAAAGATCGTCAATGGTCAAAGCGTAACTGTAAATGAGACAGTAAGAATTGCAAAAGAAGAGGCCGAATGCAAAACCATCTGCGAGGCTTCTATCCTCAATGACGGCTACGAATGCTGGGCCTTCTCATTCAATTCAGTTGCAAAATGTTACCTGTACTACTACAGCCGTCCAATCACCATCATCAATATACCCATGATCGGAAACAAAATGACTACAACTTTGTACCTGAAACGTTGTAGTGATGGTACGTTTCCTATTTTTTTTCTTCCGAATCTTGTGAACGAGATAAAGTGTAACGAGTCAGTGTAACGAGTTAGAGGGTAAATATAAGCTATATAGACTAATATGGTAATTTCAGATTTTTATTTCTGGATAATTATCTATACGTTGTGAACGACCGCTCCGGTGGCCTAGTGGTTAGAGCGTCCGCTTCAGATGCGGGAGGTCGTGGGTTCGATCCCAGGTCGAGTCATATCAGAGTCTTACAAAGATGGTAGCTGCCTCGCTTGGAGCTCAGTATTAAGAGGTAAGTGTTAGGACTGGTTGGTCTGGTGTCAGGATAATGTGGCTGTACTGCATATTTGCGGCGTGATGCTCCAGAGTTAGACATCACTATAAACTGCAACACTGCAAACATCTTGCGATATGAGTGAACAATTGTCAAATCTAAGTTAAAAATCATAATCACATCACATCACATACTTTGTGAACAGTACATATTTTTGCACATAAATAGTTGTTTCTATTAACTGCATCAATTAGATCTCATCAAGGCTGACATGTACCCTACAATTATCGTTTATATGAGTGCTCATATAAAGTGAAATGTATAAACCGAGTCGAACAGATTCTTTTTGGCTAGCTTTTGCAATAAAGACATCGAACTTTTTATGAGGTTCATAATTTTCTTTTTGAAATGAGCACAAAAGTAAGACTATTTATTAGATGATGAGCAATACTGGTTGTATCTGACAAAAGCCGTAGAATAGGCAGGTGAGATTTCGTTGATAGAACGTTCCATGCTTTTTCCATCACATGTTAGGAAAAATTATGATGCGAATAATGACCTTTTTAAAATGATTCTGTTTTCAGATCGTGCAAAATTTGGTAAGTATATTAAACTTTTTGGGCAAGCAATTCTTATTTTAAAATCTATCACCACGTGTCAAAGAAAATATGTTATAAATGCTACTTACTGCCTGTAAAGGCCAAACATGACGCATTTCGATAAGCACTAGGCCTCTTTTACAACTGAGGTATTTGTAACGTCTTTTCAAGCTCTAATAAATTTTCTTACATTATTAGAATTTTACAACGTAATTGATAAACACAACATTATTGATAGTTGCGTTCACATTTGTGCTAATTAAGGAGGTAAATCCTACGTTATTACATATTTAATATCATCGGGAGAGTTTACTCGATTGTCAAAAATAATACCAGCAAATTCAGACTAAATCAGTTAGGTTTCAATTGTGAACCATTTTCGGATCATGTGATGTACCCGTATCAGTAAATAACAATTATGTTTTGTTTAAGCTAGGAAAGAAAAGAATCGAAAAAATCGACATTAAAAAGTGATTTGCTAAAACATTTATCGATTAGAAGAACTTATAGAAAATGAATTTAATATATTCTAAAGGCTTAGAGAAGGAGTGGTACGATAGTTTAATTAGTGAGAAATTATCCTAATTATTTGTTGAAAGTCGTGGTACGATAGTGCACGGATTATCCTATTATACCTAAGGAGAAATCGCGGTACGATAGTACACGGAGTAACTATCTAAATTATTCCTTAAGAGAAGTCGTGGCACGATAGTACACGGAGTGAGAAATTATCCAAATTATCCCTTAAGAGAAGTCGTGGTACGATAATGCACGGAGTGAGAAATTATCCAAATTATTTTTTAAGAGAAATCGTGGTACAATAGTGCACGGAGTAAGAAAACATCCTAATTATTTGTTAGAAGTCGTGGTACTATAGTGCACGGAGTGAGAAATTATCCTATTATACCTAAGGAGAAATCGTGGTACGATAGTACACGGAGTAACTATCCTAATTATTCCTTAAGAGAAGTCGTGGTACGATAGTGCACGGAGTGAGAAATTATCCTAATTATTCCTTAAGAGAAGTCGTGGTACGAAAGTGCACGGAGTGAGAAATTATCCTAATTATCCCTTAAGAGAAGTCGTGGTACGAAAGTGCACGGAGTGAGAAATTATCCTAATTATCCCTTAAGAGAAGTCGTGGTACGATAGTGCACGGAGTGAGAAATTATCCTAATTATTCCTTAAGAGAAGTCGTGGTACGAAAGTGCACGGAGTAACTATCCTAATTATTCCTTAAGAGAAGTCGTGGTACGATAGTGCACGGAGTGAGAAATTATCCTAATTATTCCTTAAGAGAAGTCGTGGTACGAAAGTGCACGGAGTGAGAAATTATCCTAATTATCCCTTAAGAGAAGTCGTGGTACGAAAATGCACGGAGTGAGAAATTATCCTAATTATTCCTTAAGAGAAGTCGTGGTACGAAAGTGCACGGAGTAACTATCCTAATTATTCCTTAAGAGAAGTCGTGGTACGATAGTGCACGGAGTGAGAAATTATCCTAATTATTCCTTAAGAGAAGTCGTGGTACGAAAGTGCACGAAGTGAGAAATTATCCAAATTATTCCTTAAGAAAAGCGCTAACCCATCACAACCCTTTAATAAAATCTAATTGAAAGAAACTCACTGCTGAAACAGGAAAGGGAATTTTAAGTCATGACGGTTTGAAATACTTGTTAGGTTGAATAGGTTGAAATTACAAACAGGATCTGAAATTTAGCATTGAAACTGATGTTTTTTTAAAATTTAATATATAATGCTTTCATATCAGTGTATCTCTAATAATTAAGAAAAAAGTATAGTGTTCCGAATAAATCCTAGTCATGAATATGCTTATGTAGTCATGAATAGTTTGATGTATGAATCATATTCATATATTTACGAATGACTTTGAATGAATTCATAATAACTTCAAATAGAGTTGTAGTCCTAAATTTCAACGATTACTTTGTAATTCCATAAATAATTTACATAAATGAATCCTCTCAAAAAGCAAAGTACAATGGCTGATTGTGCTATGCACAACAGATGAAAAATTGCTGTTGGTGTAATACAGTAAGAGAATTTCGATGAGGTGATAGATAATATTCAAATTTTTTATTGTTTGTTTAGGTTCAATTATTGGTTGAACATCGTCAAGGTTCTGACATTTAGATGTTGACTGTTAACTTGAAGAAGAGGCAAGCAGTTTTCTCAATTAGACAGAAGTTTGAAAGAATGCGTTCCAGAAAATAATTTTGTTCCGCTTTAATTTTTGTTTTTGTTGCTCAAGTTGCTAAATGTACATCTCCATTCACAATCAATATTAAATTTGAAGATTCGTTTACAGAAAGAGATCTATTAAAACATAGTTCGATACTATGAAGCTTTTGAACATACTGTCTGCTTTTGAAGGTTTGTATGATGTGATGTGATTATGATTTTTAACGTAGCTTTAACAATTGTTTAGTCTACCGCTACGATGTTTGCAGTGTGACAGTTTATAGTGATGTTAAGTACTGGAGCATCATGCCGCAGACATATAGCATGATGTCCCACCCAGTGACATTATCCTGACACCAGACCAACCAGTTCAAACACTAACCTCTTAATGCTGAGCGTCAAGCGAGGCAGCTGTTAGTACCATTTTTGTAATGGTATGAATCCTTTGGTATTACTCGACCGGGGATCGAACCCAAGACCTCTCACATCTGAGACGGATACTCTAACCACTAGGCTACAGGAGCAGTTCGTTAAAGTTTTAATTAGTTTGATAATAGATCATATTGTATTGTATACTTACTTCTCTATGCTAAGTCATCATCTGCTATGCTTATTTTATTTCAAGCTATAAATCATTTTGCGAATTTTGATACTTGATCTATGCTGACGGCCTGGGCTTTTGTGTAGACAGCAAACCGTACTTGACCTATGCTGATGGTCTGTACCTTTGTGTAGATAGAATACCGTACTTGATCCATGCTGACGGCCTGTACCTTTGTGTAGACAGCATACCGTAATTGACCTAAGCTGACAGCTTGTAACTGGGTGTAGATAGCATACCGTATTTGATCCGTGCTGAAGGCCTGTACCTGGATGAAAAGAATTCAATCAATATGGTGGCTAAAATGTCAATGGTCAATAGTGACTGAAAAAAAGAAAAATGGTTTCCTGACAATAACGTTAGATTTTGATCATGTATCTAGACCAACCTTTGCTAGAGTGTGAATTGGGCCTGTCAAGTTTTAGAGTCAAAATGTCAAACTTCAGGATCAATGCAACTGAACAAAGCCAACTATTGTTGCACACGAAGTTTAATTGTGGACCACATACCATAACCAAACATTGTTTATAGCTTGCACTTCGATTAAGGTAAACATAGTTGTAAAGTTATTTGATTTGGGGGCATAAATGACAAGCACAATTTTACTGTGAATAAAATTAGAAATAATGATGCACAATAAATTTAATTCTAAATCATTCCCCTTCTTCAATCAAAGTGGATGGCTTGCATAAAATATTATCATTTTTGTACCAACTTTGCAATCTTTTACAACAAAAGTAAGTTTTGAGAATAATGAACGGTTGTTTATAAGACAGTTCATTTTCATTTCCAGTCATTCATAAATATCCATTTATAGAACGCAAGCTGAGACAATGAGCACGAGCAAAGTAATACAGTGTAGTATCGATTTATATGAAAGTAATATGCTTACTGTATTTCTTGCTATTTTTCTTAATTTTCTGTATAGAAAGAAGCTTGTCTAAAATTGTAATGAGAACTTCCTGATACAATTGCAACAATATATTTAATATTAAAGATCAAACCATGCCTCTAATGATGAGAGTATAGTTTTGCTACCATGTGCTAGGGCGATGAAAAAAATGTGGCATTATTCGGTACAAAAACAATAGGGTTAGACGCTAATAGGAATACAAGTGTGGTAAAGAATATAATACATAAAAGCTTATAAACTGTGTTTAACAGTTTGTCAAAAAATTGAGCGCGCAATAAAGAAGAAAAGCGTGGATGAGAATTACGTAGATAAGACAAATGAAAATGGTGAGTTTTGTAATGAAAACTGTTCGGCTTACAGCGCAAGATGTAGGACAGCTACATATGTTATTCACTGTTAACTGTTTATCACCGCATTCTCGTCTCTTCAAACATTTTAATGAGACTTAAAAAATTATATTTCTTTCTATCTATATGTAATACATCTTTAAAAAAATTCTCTGTATTCATTAATCCTTTTTTATAATGAACTTGCTTATTTTAAAGGAGATTAAAATCCATGATTTGTTAACTGTTTAACCACTGCATTCTCTTTTCTTCAAACTTTATAATGAGACTTAAAAATAACTATATTGCTTTTTATCTACTTGTAACACATCTTTAATAAATTCTCTGTATTCATTAATCCTATTTTATAATGAACCTGCTTATTTTAAAGGAGATTTAAAATCCATGATTTGACAAATTATCAATAATAAGCTCATCAGTATTAGTAGCATATAGGGGCGATATAGCAAAATGGGATCTTAAGGTTAATTTGGGTTTTGACCCTATAGCGACAAGGGGAATTTAACGTGGGTGTATAGCGACAAGTGAAATTGAACATAGCGACACGAGATTGGGACTGTCTTGCGACAAGGCAATTGGAGAAAGGTGACGTTACAGTACTGGCTACTAGGGAAACAATGATAAAAATGTTGCAAGGATTGACCCTCAGTCGAACGGAACATTGTTGCAAGGGGCTGACCTGAATACGCCCTACTCTAGGGACATATATATATATATATATATATATATATATATATATATATATATATATATATATATATATATATATATATATATATATGGAGAGAGAGAGAGAGAGAGAGAGAGAGAGAGAGAGAGAGAGAGAGAGAGAGAGAGAGAGAGAGAGAGAGAGAGAGAGAGAGAGAGAGAGAGAGAGAGAGAGAGAGAGAACTAAACAACCTCCTAAAAAGTTTTAGGTAAGATATAATACGCATCTTGTCGAGACAAGTGAGTGGCCCTGAAAAGGGCCTTTGGATTTCTGCTAGCATCACTTAGTTAACATAGAAAATATCACACAGGTCTTCTTCTCTTCCTCAAACTTCGCCTGACATCTGGACCATAGATTAAGACTCTCTTCAGACAGCCTTGCCTCTCCACATATATTCTTCATTTCTAAAGGGCCGCCTCTGTAATACTGGTAATAGCCCATGATGATCTGACATACTGGGGATAATCCGGGTGGAAAAGCACCGACAATATAAGGGTATACGATCCTACATTAGTCCATATCTTGTAACGAGAACCGGTGAAATGAGGTAAACTGCAGTAATTTATAGAGGTAGAGCGGATAGAAACGGACTGACTTCTTTCACCAATCCCAACACGCATTACAAAATTCATTTAACTGTGAAGAGTCTGTCTTCCAATCGGAAGTCATCTATCTGTGACGTCACATACCCTATATAGGGGTGCTTTAGCTATGTGCGCAGTGAATTGATGTGACATTGTTAGAACATGACATAAACTAAGAAGACAGTGAATTCGGGTGCACCGGTTGTGTATACAAGGAGTGATGGCATATCAGCGGCTACTAAAGCAAACAGTCTAACTTCCAGAAGAAAACGATTTTAATTGGGATTTAGCTGATTTTCTCTCTTCACAAGAATTTTTTCCAGTACCAGCTCCTTCTCTGCTTTCTCCTTCCTTACGGTAAGTCGAAGAATTTAAACATAGGCAGAAATATTAATTGGAAACGTTTTGCAACATCAGAAAGAAGCAAATGATAGGCAAAAGAAGAAGCAGAGAAGAAACAACGTCTAGGAGAGAAGGAGTACGGTGAACGTCAAACGGCGACGTTACTCTGATATTTTGGCAGAGTTAAGGAGTCTGAAACAAATGTATCAGACTTCTTTAATAAGACCAGTGAGAAAAGACGTTTCAGGGCCAAACAGTTCAACCCCGTCAACAGTTCTACTACGCGTAAGATACCATACGTACCAAATCATCGACAGTAACAGTCTACCAAATCATCTACAGTAGCAGATCCAGAAGCAAGTTTTGGCCCTGGCAAAGTAATTTGGCTGTCAAAGCGCATTACCTCCCGTCCCTGAGTTTGTTTCCTTCAGAAAACAAACAAACAAACAAACAAACACCAAATGATCATTTTCAGATCCACCTAACTCTCTCGAAAATAATTATATGTTTGCCAAAATCAGGTAAAACTCAAATATTTTTTCCGTGATTTACATGTGTTAGTGTATGAGTGTATGCCTTATAATTATAAAATCAAAACCAAGAGACACTTACGCTTATCTTTCTGGTATATTCTTAGGTTCAAATTACAATCAAACTTCACAACACATTACTTTAAAAGGTTTATTAGCTTCTTATTTTCCTATCACTCACTCCTTTTTTAATTTCTTCACTGTTGCAGGTTTTCCTTCTCTTCTTCATCCCCGCTTTCTTCTCCTCTTTTCTTCTCTTTCTGGTTGGGTCTGGGTTCTTCGTCATGTTCGGAAGCCGACTCCTCCCGCTCCTCATATTTCTTGTGTTGGTTGATTTTTTTCTTAGGCAGTCTGATGACCAATGCACTTTCTCTTGACAACGATAATGTATCTTGACGTTTGTCTTACTTTGACGTTGTGGATATTTAGAAGACCAATGCCCTTTGTTCTGACAGATATAGCAAATATCTTGACTTTTATCTCAAAAGGTGGGGTAGTAGTCCATCAGCGTTTCTGACGAAAACCTTCGTGTGCTCTTCTTTTCTTTCTGGTAAGACTGAAAGTGAAATGAAGACTATGAGGAAAGACTCTGACCCTTTATATAGGGAAAAGACTAACCTAACATTACATTTATATAGGTGACCATGGCGTATAAAATGTAGTCATTTGACATTTTGCAAACAAGATGAAAGGATCCCTTCTGTGAAGAAAGGAGAAGAAAAAAATAAGAGGCAGAAACGTGACATATTGTTTCTCACAGTAGTCGACGCCTTGACTCAACTCCATGCAAGCGATTTCGAAGATGACATATGTAAGCCAGAATCCAGACCCAGAGCGTGTACGCAAAACAAGTAACACTTCAAAACTACTATCACATCTGAGAGTCGGATAAAAGTTACTCTAGAACATTTAGAGCCTCGGCCTAATTTCAGGCAAGACGTACCGCTGGGAAAACGGGTTAATCACTGATATGTTAGATTCTTTGTTAACCAAATTGAAATGGCAACGACAAACCAAGAAAGCGATCGTTAGGCACCTTCCATTTATCATGACAGTCTGAAGTCCCCGTTTGTATAGAGTTTAGTAGGCCATCCGAATTGAAACCTTTCAAAATCACCTACAAGATTCAACGACAAGTTTAACATTAGCTATGAAAAAGCGACATTGTAAATGGCCCGTGTTTCTCATTCTCAAGGGACCTGCCACCGCTAAAAAGTGTTATTTGTGGATACCCTTCACAGCATCAAGCGTAGCTTCGTCCAAATTAATAACCCTTAAGCTTTCTCAATACCGAACCCAATCAACACACCGTTCTACCACATTTGCCTGATGCTCACTACTAAAACCATGAAAAAAGCACCGAACAACGAGAAGTATTCAACGCTTAGTATCAAATTCATGCTTCGGACCCGTTCAACTTTCAGGAAGAATTGTTAAAGTATTGTCGTTCCGACGTGGACATTTTACGGTGATGATGTGGACAATTTTGAAAATTGTTC